CCCCCCCCACCCGCGGCCCCGCCCCCCGACCCCGACGACTGCGCGCCCCGCCTAATTTCCCACATCGCGGGCTCCCGATCGGGGCTGCGCCCTCCCCGCGGTCGTCTCCCGCGCCGCCTGGACGCAGTAGGTCGCGGCCTGGTCCAAGAGCATGTCCTCGCAGGTGCGCGCGAGCTGCGCGGGGTCCCAGGCGCGGCCCTCGTCGGCCATGACGTCCCAGAGGAACCGGCCCTCGCTCCGCAGCGCGAGCGCCGTCTGGATCCAGCCGTTCGTCCAGCCGTTGTCCGTCACCCAGGGCCCGTAGCCCCCCGGGTCGGAGTCGCCCGCCCAGTACTCCCAGCGATGATGGCGCCTTGACATCAATTTGGGGGTCGAAAGGTGCATTCCATACGGTTGAATAGGGATCCCTAGTATCTGATGCTCATTGCCATCGGGGGGCGAAAGGGCGCGATGGGGGCAGCAGCACGAAAGTTAGCGACACAGCGGCGGGTGGGGCAGCAGCATGAAAGTTAGCGACACAGCGGCGGGTGGGGCGGCAGCATGAAAGTGAGCGACACAGCGGCGGCGGGCAGGAAAAAGGCCGCGCCGCGCTGCGCCGCCGCGACGCTGCTCCTGCCGTCGCTCCTTTTCGCCGTCCTCCTCGCGATGTACGCCACCGGCACGCCGTTGATCAGCAAGCGGGCGCACGTGGGCATGGACTTGGACTGCGGCGACGCGCCCGGGCCGTTCTCCGAGACGCTGCCGAACGCGCTGTTCATCGGCGACTCCATCGCCAACGGCTACGGCCCGCGGCTCCTGGAGCTGCTCGACGGCGAGGTCGCGCTGCAGCACTGCGGCGGCGTCGACTCGCTCGCGGACGTGAACGGCGGGAACACGCGGAAGGGGCTGCGCTGCCTCGACGCCTGGCTGGGCGCCGGGACCTGGGATCTCGTCCACTTCAACCACGGCCTCTGGGACATGGTGGACCGCGAGCACACGCGGTGGTGGCGCGCGTTCCCCGCGGTGAAGAAGAAGACGTGGCGCGAGCAGATGGCCGTGCCCCTCGACGAGTACCAGCGGAACATCGAAACGTACGTCGACATCCTGAACGCGAGCGCCCGCAGGATCATGTTCGCGACGACGACGCCGGTCCCGCGCTGCGTCCCCGACTGCACGAACAAGCACAAGCGGTCCAACGAGAAGACGCTCCAATACAACGCCGCCGCGCTCGCCGCGCTGCCGGCGGGCGTCCTCGTCGACGACATCTACGCCGCCGCCGTCGGCTACTGCGGCGACCCGTTCCCGTCGAACGGCTGCGCCGCGGTGCCGACGCTCGCGAAGGGCGATATCCACTTCACGGACGCCGGCTCCGCGAACCTCGCCATCAACGTGAGCCGGGCGATACGGCGCGCGCTCGGTATAACGCGATGACAGCGCGATGTAGGACGCCCGAGGGAGGCGGCGCGTTGCGACGGCGAACGCGAGCGCGAAAACGACGGATCCAGCTACTAGTACTCAAGTAGCTACTCGGCGACCGGCGTCGGACTCGATGGAGGCGACGAGGATGTAGCGAAGTATTACATTCTGCGGCTCCCTCCACCTTAAAATAGATAATGATAATTACATAGCGGTCCCCGGGCCCGGTCCCAGTTAATAATTCTAAGTACTTCAACTTCTTCCGTCCGAGACCTATCGGCCGTGTGTGCTCTTGGGCATGCGGCCGGGCCGCCTCTCCGACGCAAAATCCCCAATAACCCGTGGGCCTTCGGCCCCTGCTGGGGGGCAGCCCCCCACCTACTTCGACTTCTTCCGTCCGAGACCTATAGGCCGCGTGTGCTCTTGTGCACGCGGCTTCTCCGACGCTAAATACGCAATAATAATAATAACAATACTAATAATAATAATAAGTCAGATAATTACTAGCCTGATGAGATCTACAGTATCCTAGTAGGGGAAACAAGACGCCTACGGCATCTTGCCCCTGCCGGGGGGGCTTGCCTGCGGCGCGGCGAGAGCGCGCCCTTCGGGCGCGCTCGCGCGAGCTGAGCCACTCATTCCCGTGTCAATGCTTCCCTCTGCACCGCTCGCGCGACGACAGCCATTTAATTTCCGTACGGCGGGGGAACCGGCACGCACAACTCACGCATATATATATGGACGAGCTGAAACTTTTGCGATCGCATTCATCAAGGTCGGCCCCGGGGGCAGCCTCGTCGATTTTTGTCGACGACGATGCTCGACGTCGTCGCCTGGCTCGCCCAGTCCGGGAGCGCATTCGTGCTCAAGGTTGCCTCTTCCATCGACGACGTCGTCTGGTTCGCCGCGTTCCTCCACGGCCAGCTCAGCGTCCGCGAGCGCGTCAAAAACGCCGCGGTCTACGCCGCTGTGTGCCTGGCCCAGACGGTCCTCGCCTGGGTCATCGCCACGTCCGGCGCCGCGGCCGTGGACAGGCTCACGCACGGCGGCCTCCCGGGCTTCTCCACGGAACGGCTCCTCACGCTCGTGGCGGCGCTGGGCCTCTCCGCGTATTCCCTCAAACTGCTCGTCGAGGAGCTGTCCGAGCGCTACGGCGGCGGCGACGGGGACGCCGTCCCGCTGGGGGAGCTCGTCAAGCGCGTCTCGAGCGACGTCGCCGCCAAGGCCGCGGCGGCGCCGCGGCGGCTCCTCGCGCGCGACGACGGCTTCATCGGCGTCTCCGTCGTCGACGACGACGACGGCGACGGCGGCGGCGCGGGCGAGGCCGCCGTCGGGACCGCCGTCGAGACCGTCGTCGACGACGACGACGGCGACGGCGGCGGCGCGGGCGAGGCCGCCGTCGGGACCGCCGTCGAGACCGCCGTCGAGGCCGCCGTCGAGGCCGCCGCCGACGACGGCGCGGCGGCCGGCGCCGGCGTCGAGCTCCGCGCGCTCGAGACCGTGGACCTCGACGACGACGGCGCGCCGGCGGCCGGCGACGTCGAGGCGCCCGGCGGCGGCGCCGACGGCGCGCGGGCGACGACGACGGCGACGCTGCTCGTCGTCGCGTTCTGCGGGTCGCTCGACGACCTCACGCTCTTCGTGCCCATGCTCGCGGGCGGCGCCATCGGCCCGCTCGCGCTCCTCGCCGGCGCGGCCGCCGCGACGGCGCTCATCGTGGCGATCTGCGTCTTCCTCAACTTCTTCAGGGCGATCTCCGACCGCCTCGCGGCCGTGCCCCTCGTGTGCGTCACGTCCGCCTTCGCGACGTTCCTCATCGCCAAGGTGGCGCTCATGCGCTGAGGGCGCGCGCGCTAACTGAGTCGCTCCGCGTCGCTGGCCCACCCCGCCTCCTCGGGCCTCGGCACGGGGCTCGCGCGCAGGGCCAGCACTGGCCGGGGGCTCCCCGGGGAGGCCACCGGGGCGCGCACTCGGGCGCGCCCCCGGAGGCCTAGGCATCTCTAGGCGTCCCCGGGCGCGCGGCCGGCCCGCGAGGCCCCACGCTCGTGGACGAGGTCCGCGGCGCGGGCCACCTTCTACTTCTCGAGCTGCCACAAGCGCAAATTGAGCCGGCCCTTCCGCTCGGCAGCCCTCGCCTCGTCGCGCCGCCGCCGCCTCCCGCGCCGCGATCCGCTCGGCGCCGCCCCGTTCGAACGCATGCGCGCCGCCGCCGCCCTCGTCGCGCTCGTCGCCGCCGCCGCCGCCTTCGCGCCGCCGGCGCGGCACCTTGCCCTCCGCCGCCCCGGCGCCGCCGCCGCCCCGGTCCGCGCGGCCGGGTCGCCGCGGCCCGCGTCCCCCCGGGGCCGCGTGGTCCTGCGCGTCGGCGAGGAGTCGGGCCTCCCGGACCCGGCCATCGCGGTCGCGGTCTTCGCGTTCCTCTTCGCCGCGTTCGCGTACACGCAGTTCGACATGGTCCAGGTCGTCAACCAGGAGGACCTCGACGGCGCCGAGGGGTCGCGCCGCGCGCGCGACGCCCTCGCGAGGAAGCGGGGCTACTTCCGCAAGTGAGGGCCCGCGGAGCCGCGGCCGTTGCGCGCGCGCGCGCCGCGTACCACGGGCGCGGGGTCCGCGTACCCAGGACCGGGTTCGCATCCGCGGGAGCGCCGCGGGCGCCCGCGCGTCGGTGCGGCGCGGGCGGCCGCGCTTGCCCGCGCTGCTCGGCCCCTGATTGAGGTAAACGCTGCCGGAAAGGCTCGGCAACTTGCCGCGGCGAGTGTGGCCGCCACACCTGCTCTGGACGCGGCCGCCGGAGGCCGCCGTCCGCGCCGTCGCGACGCTCAGCCAGGTCGCGGGGAGCACACGGATCCACGCGGCGCGCGAGGCGCTCGACAAGGCGCTCCAGAAAAAATTCTGCCGGCATGGGGCGCGTCGGGCGCTACAAGAAGGTCAAGGCCTGCGACCCCTTCGCGAAGCAGCGGCCCGGGAAGAAGCCGCGGCGGGAGTTCGACCTGCCGCCCGACGAGGACCAGACGGGCCCCCTGAAGACGGGCAAGGCGCTCCGGCGCCAGGAGCGCCGCTGGGCGCGCGAGGCCATGGGCGACTTCGGCGACGACGCGCTCGGCGAGGCGGCGCTCGCGGACGTCTCCTCGGCACCGCCGCCGCCCAGGGTCGCCATCGACCCGCGCCGCGCGAACGAGAGCCAGAAGGCCTTCGAGCGGCGGCTCAAGGACGACTCCGCGAAGCTCCTGAAGGCGCAGGCGGACCGGCACTCGTCGACGAAGGCGAAGAAGCGGGCCTACCTCAAGGACAAGAAGGCGGCGAGGAAGGGCGGCGCGCGCGACGCGGGCGCCGCCGCCGAGCGCGGCGCGCCGCCGCCGCCGGCGTTCGGCGATCGCGCCGACGCGCCGCCGGACCTGAGCGCGGACTTCACGGCCAAGCTCGAGGGCCGGGCGCAGAAGCGCAAGCGCGACGGCCGCGGCGACGGCCCGTCGAAGCGGGCGCTCAAGGCCGCGCGCGACGCGTTCGCCGCGGGCCGGACCGATGGCCTCGAGTCCTGGGAGCGCTAGGCCCCGTGTTTTCGTAAGTACGCCGCGCGACTCTTGTGGCGCCGCGCGCGACGCGCCGGCCGCTCACTTGCGCGGCGGGCCCTTGCCCTTCTTCTTCGCCGGCGCCTTCTTCTCCGGCGCGGGCCGCTTCTTCGGTGCCGCGCCCGGCTTCGGCGGGAGCACCTTGAAGAAGCTGTCCATGCGGCGCTGCGTGCGCTGGCCCTGGGCCGACGTCAGCCGCTTGAGCGCGCCCTCGACGCGCTGCTCGCCGAAGCCCATGCGCTCGACGAGGAACGCGCGGAGGCCCGCCTCGTCCGGCTTGCCCCAGCTCAGCTCCACGTCGCCGCAGGGCGTGACCTCGTGGTTGTTGAAGAGGTTCCGCGCGCCGACGTAGGCCGGCACGAACGGGCCGTCGTCCGCGTCGTCCTCGGCGGCCGGCGCCTCCGCGGCGGGCGCCTCCGCGGCCGGCGCGGCGGGCGCCTCCGCGGCCGGCACCTCGTCCTCGGGCGCCTCGGGCGTCGCCTCGGGCTTCGGGGCCTCGGGCGCCGCGGGCGCCGCGGGCTCGACGGCCGGCGCCGCGGGCGGCGACGGCGGCGCCGCGGGCTGCGAGGTGGCCGAGAAGGCGGGCTGCGAGGTGGCCGCGAAGGCGGGCGCCGCGGGCGCGTCGGCGGGCTGCGAGGTGGCCGAGAAGGCGGGCGCCGCGGGCGCGTCGGCGGGTTGCGACGTCGCCGCGAAGGCGGGCTGCGACGTCGCCGCGAAGGCGGGCTGCGACGTCGCCGCGAAGGCCGGCTGCGACGTCGCCGCGAAGGCGGGCGCCGCGGCGGGCGCGTCGGCGGGCGGCGCGGCGCCGTCGTCGCCCTCGTCCATGGCGTCGCCGCGCGCGCCGTCGTAGGCGCCGTCGTCGTCGACCTTCGTCGGCGACGGCTCCTTGGGCGCGTCGGCCTTCTTCGGCGCGGGCGCGGGCGGCGCCTTGGCGACGCGGTCCGCGGGCGGGACCCACTCGTCGGGCACGTCGCCCCTCTGCTTGGCCTTGAGGCCCTTGGCGAGGATGGCCTCGATGGAGCCGTGCTCCTTGACGAGCTTCAGCGCCGTCTTGGGCCCGACGCCGCGGATCGTCGACGTGTAGTCGCAGCCGCAGAGGATGCAGAAGTCGACGAACTCGGCGTTGGAGAGGCCGAGGCCCTCGAGGACCGCCGCGTGCGTGATCTCGAGGACCTTGTCGTCCTTGGACTTCTTCGTGAACGTCATGTTGCGGAGCTGGCGCGTGGACCCGAAGGTCAGCGCGTCCATGTCCTCCGTGCCGACGGCGTGGGCCTTGCCGCCGCGGACGAGCTCCGCGCACTGCGCCTCGGCCTCGCACGGCGCGTCGACGACGGGCACGCCCATGAGCCGCAGGAGCTGCTTGACGTCGTCGCAGTCCTTCCGCGAGACCTTGGTGAGCAGCGCGCTGTACTTGGAGATGCCCTCGGCGTCGTCGTTCTCCGTGGCCTTCTTGAGCGCGGCCTCGGCCTCCTGGCGCTTCGCCGTGCGCTTCGCGAGCTCGCCGCCCTTCATGTTCGGTGGCTTGCCGTCGAAGACGTAGACGGGGCGGACGCCCGCCTGGAGCAGGCGGATCGTGCGGTTGAACATGCCCTGGATGTGCGACGTCTGCTCGCCCTCGGCGTTCGTGAGCACGCTCGACGGCGCGCCGCCCTCGCCCTGGTGGCGGATCGCGATGAGGAACTGGTAGAGGCTCATGGACGCGTCGATGGCGACGACGCGGCCCGTGTAGCCCTCGATGACGAGCTCCTTGACGGCGCCGGGCGCGTGCTCGTTGATGACGCCCATGAGGCCCTTGATGCCCATATCTGCGACGTTGCCGGGCGTGCTTGCGGCGGCCGAGATGCGAAGAAGCAGCTTCCCAGACGCGATTCAAACCCGATGGGCGCGCGTCACCATCGACACGATATCCATTGGTTTGAGTGCCTGAGAATCGATTAAAGCAACCCGGGGTTAATTTTGACCCCCCGAGCTATGGTCACTTTTTTTTTTCACTTTTTTTTTTTTGCGCCGCGAGCCGCGGAGGGTCCAGGGGGTCCCCGGGGACCCGCCCGGGGCGTGCGCGAGCGCGGGGGGGGGCGAACGCGCGCCGACCGTCGTAATGCGCCGCGCGGTCCCGCGCGGGCGCGACACGCGGCCGTCGCACGCGCGCTAAAGCGAATTCCTCGACAACCCGCCGCGTCGCAGCGCCCTTCCCCACCCCCTGGTGCCCCGGGGGTCCGCCGGGGCGCGTAGGTGCATCGAAAAAAAAAAGTCAAAAAAAAAGTGCCAATAGCTCCCATAGCTCGAGGGGTCAAAATTAACTCCGATCTGCTTTACAGTTTCGTCGGCGAGCAGGAAGGGCAGCCATCGACGCCATGTTCCGACGCGCCGCGGCCACGTGCGTCGTCGTCGCGGCCGTCGCCGCCGCCGCGCGCGGCGCCGCCGCGGCGCCGCTCGGCGAAGGCAGCGAGGTGCTCCTCCCCGGCCCGGACTTCGCCGCGCCCGTCGGCGACGGCGACGGCGTCGCCGTGGCGGCGCGCGGCGCGGCGCCGCGGCGCCTGTCGCTCGGCGCGCTCCTGGCGCCCCTCCACGAGGCGCTCCGCGGCGTCTGGGCCGCGCCCCACGTGCTCCTGCGCGACGGCGCCGGCGCGCGCGACCGCGCGCGCGAGTCGGAGCTCGGTGCGCGGAATCGCACCGTCGGCGACTTCCTCGCCTTCCTCGAGGCCGGCCGCGTGTCCGGCGTGCTCCTCCTCGAGGCGCTGCCGCCGGGCGCCGCGCGCGCCTTCTACGACGACGCGCTCCTCGGCGGCGGCTGGTCGGGCGGCTGCGCGGCGTGCTCGGCGCACGTCTACGTGAGCCCGCCGGGGCTCTCCGCGCTCCGGAACCACACGGACGCGACGCCCGTGCGCGTCTTCCAGCTCACCGGGGCCAAGGACTGGCGCGCCTGCGCCGCGGCGCCGGCGCCGGCGCTCGCCGTGCCGCTCGACTTCGCGGCGAAGCTCGGCACGTGCGCGACGTACGACGCTGTGTGGAAATCAAATCTTCAACCCGACTTCAATGTTCGCGTATGCGACCGTTTCGACGCATGGCTTTCGGCTGTGCTTCGAGGACTCGATGAGAGCAATCGATTCGTCCAAAAATCAGCCGAATCGACTTCGATATGACCGAGCTAGAGAATTCTGAAGTTTGGTGGGGACCCCCCAAACCAGTGGTTGATTTCCACACAGGTACGACGCGGGCGAGATGGCCGACGCGACGTCGGACCGCGCGCTCGGCCTGCTCGACTGCGCCTCCTTCTCCCTCGCCGCGGGCGAATCGGTCTCGGTGCCGCGGCGCACGGTCCACGCCGCGCGCGCGGCCGCCGGCGCGCCGTCCGTGCACGTCACCGTCGGCTTCCGCGACGACGCCGCGGCGCCCGCGTGCGCGGCGCCCGGGGGCGGCGGCGGCGACGACCTGCCCGACGGCCGCCGCCTCGACTGCGTGGACAGCAACGTCGAGAGCTACGCGACGTGCTGCCCCGCCGGCACGCACCGCGCCGGCACGGGCCGCTACGACGCGGGCTACGACTGCGACGAGTCCTGCGACCTCTTCGGCGGCCTCTGCGACACGTCCTGCGACGGCTGCAACGGCTGCAGCGGCTGCCCCGCGGGGTCCTACAGCGGCGCCTGCGCGGTGGCCTGCGCGTCGTGCGCCGCGGGCACCTACCAGCCCTCGGCGTGGCAGGCGGCGTGCCTCGCGTGCCCCTCGGGCTCCTACCAGTCGAGCGCGACGAACTACGCGACGGCGTGCACGACCTGCCCCGCGGGGACCTTCGCGGCGGGCGGCGCCGCGTCGTGCTCGGCCTGCGCCGCGGGCTACTACACGGCCGGGGGCGCCGCGGAGTGCTCGAGCTGCGCCGCGGGGACCTACGCGCCGACGACGGGCTACGGAAGCTGCCTCGCCTGCCCCGCGGGCTCCTACGCGGCCGCGGCCGCCGCGTCCTGCGCGGCCTGCCCCGCCGGGACCTACTCGTCCGCCGGCGCCGCGTCGTGCTCGAGCTGCGCCGCGGGCTCCTACGCGGCCGCGGGCGCCGCGTCGTGCTCGAGCTGCGCCGCGGGGACCTACGCGCCGTCGACGGGCTACGGGAGCTGCCTCGCCTGCCCCGCGGGCCACAGCTCGCACGCGGGCGCGACGTCGTGCTACTCGTGCGCGGCGGGGACCTACGCCGCGGCCGAGGGCTCCGCGTCCTGCGCCGACTGCGCCGCGGGCTCGTCCCAGGGCGCGGACGGCCAGGCGTCCTGCGCGGCCTGCGCCGCCGGGAGCTACGCCGGCGCGTCGGGCGCGACGGCCTGCGCGGCCTGCGCCGCCGGGACCTCCTCGTCGGCCGGCGCGATCGCGTGCGGCGCGTGCGCCGCGGGCACCTACAGCCTCGCCGGGTCGCCGGCCTGCGCGACCTGCGGCGCCGACGGCCACTGGGACGTCGACGTCACGGGCGTGCCCGCGCGCGACGACTGCGCGTGCGAGGACGGCTGGACGGGCTACGACTGCGACATCGTCGAGTGCGCCGAGACGCTCCACGCCATGTCGCTGGGCCTCATGCTCGTCGAGGCGTCCTGGCCCGAGCCGACGCGGACCATGTCGAACGCGCGGGTGACGTGGGCCGCGATCCTCCGCGCGGCGGACCTGAACGCGGACGAGGTGCTCTCGGGCGACGAGCTCGCCTACGCGCTCGCCTGGAAGTCCGTCGACGTGCCCGCGGGCGTGGCCAACGTCTGGAGCCGCCAGAGCCACGAGGCGGGCCGGCCGGGGACCTGGACGCGCCTCTTCGAGGGCGACGTGTCCATCTCGGAGATGATCGCGGACCTCGTCGCGTACCGGACGACGCCGACGCTCAAGTTCGGCGCGGACACGTACGTCGACGGCGCGACGTCGCTCGCGGAGCTCGGCGTGACGTCGATGAACGCGACGTACCCCGACCCGGCGTGGGCCGAGGCCGAGTGCGCGGCGCGCGAGGACGGGTCGGGCACGACGGGCGTGACGGTCGCGTGGACGCTCCGGGCCGACATGGTCGGCGCGCTCTACCAGCAGTGCGCCTTCGTCAACGGGGCCCAGATCGGCGACGCCGGCGGCTTCTTCGACTCGCTCGTCGACGGCACGGACTGCGACGGCGGGCGCTGCGAGTTCCACGACGCGCGCGGCATCGCCGCGGGCAACCGGAAGCGCGTGCTCTGCGTCGAGGTCGACTTCTGCGCGTCGGCCGACGCCTGCGACGCCGAATCGGTGGACACGCTGCTCACGGCGACGCGCTGCGCGACGGCGCTCGCCTACGACGGCGCGCCCGCGGACGTCGTCCCCGCGCTCGAGGACTTCTGGGGCGTCACGTTCTCGTGGCTCGACACGAGCCTCGACGAGGCGGGCTTCTACGTCTTCCGCACGGCCGGCGACGAGGCGAGCGCCGCGGCGAGCCCCGTGCTCATCGCGCAGGTGCCGACGCCGAGCGCGCGCTGCGGCCGCTTCTTCAGCCCCGTGGCGTTCAACGACCGCGACACGGGCCAGAACCCGGGCACCGTCGTCCAGTACACGGTCGCCACGGTCGACGCCGCCGGCGCGGTGCTCACGGCCGCGACGGTCGAGTTCACGTCGCCCTGGCTCTCGGAGCTCGAGGTCGCCGTCGAGACGGAGAGCGAGGCGCCCGTCGAGGGCGTCACCGTCGCCATCTCCCACCTCACGAGCGAGGGCGACCGCGACGCCAAGTACGACCCCCTCGTGTCCGGCGTCACGAACGTCTTCGGCGTCTACGTCGTCGAGCTCCGGGTCACGGACTACGAGTGGCAGGCGCAGTCGCAGAACATGGTCGCGGTCTGCTCGAAGACGTCGGCGACGTCCGCGGGCGCGGTCGTCGAGCACGTCTTCGAGCCGGCGGAGCAGCGGTTCTCCCAGCGCCACTTCCGCGAGAACGTCGTCGAGATCGTCGACGAGACGTCCGTGTCCGTGACGGGCTACGTGCGCTACAACTTCACGGACGCGCCGGGCAGCGGCGGCGCCTGGGACAGCGGCTGCCCGCACCGCGACGGCGCCGCCCGCTGCTACTGCCCGCTGCCCCACAAGGCCGTCACGGTCAAGGTCGAGGACGACCAGGGCACGGTCACGGACGTCGCGCCGAACGAGGCCGGCTACTTCGCCACGGGCGTCACCTACGGCCACCGCTACAAGGTCTACCTCCAGGCCTTCGAGGGCGAGGACGGGTCCGCGACGCGGGCCCACGAGTTCCGCATGACGAGCGACGCCGGCGACCTCGCCGTCGACGCGGTCGCGGAGGGCGCCGCGCCGCTCCTCGACTTCTTCGCCGACGCGGACGTGGCGATGGAGTTCGTGCACGCGGAGTCGACGCGCCTCGACGCGCGCGTCGTCGGCGGCGACGGAGCGGCCGCCTTCGCCACGGGCCAGCTCGTCGAGGCCTACCACGGCGAGTGCGGCTTCACGCAGACGCTGCGGACGCACGAGGGCTACGCGACGGCGCTCCTGCCCGCGGCGGGCGCCTTCGACGTGACGCTCGTCGCCGGCGCGCGCGCGGAGGCGCTGCCGCCCTGCGCGTCGCTGGCGCTCGAGGACGTCGTCGACCCCTACGCGGCCGCGGCCGTCGCGTCGTGCCGCGTCGAGATGCCGCGGGGCGTCGGATCCGAGACGCGGCCCTGCTTCGACGGCGGCTTCGACTACGTCGACGAGTTCTTCGACGCCGTCGGCGACGCGGAGCGGTCCGTGACGCTCGCGGCGCTCAACGGCACGGAGACGATCACCTACGCCTTCGCGGCGAACCTCTGCGTCGAGGGCGTCGCCATCGCGCCCAAGGCGGGCACGGCGCTCCAGGCGCTCTTCGGCGCGCACGCCGGCCCGCGCGAGGTGCCGCTGCCGGGCGACGAGGCGCTCCTGCTCGTGCCGCCGCTCCCCATCGAGGGGCCCGAGGTCTACGGCTCCGCGTGCCCCGACGCGACCACGGCCATCTTCGTCGAGGACGACGAGTTCGACCTGAGCTTCGAGCTCGGCGAGTACTACCCGAACACGCTCGGCCTGCGCTGGCCCTGGGACTACTTCGAGAGCGACGGCGTCACGCGGACGGCCCAGGCCTACGTCGTGACGCAGCCCTCCGCGGCCCACGCCGTCGACGTCGCCGTCTTCGACGGCATCTCGAAGACCGACGGCGTCTCGGGCGTCTACGACGCGTCCGCGTCGGCCCACGGCTTCGTCCACGCGGTCGCCGCCGCGGACCCGAACCCCTTCGCGCCGTTCACGCTGGGCATCGAGGTCCAGTTCTCGCGCGACGTCGACGGCGCGGCGGCGACGCTGTCGCGCAGCGCCATCGTCCTCGGCGTGCTGCCGGACGACGTGCCCCAGACCTTCGCGATGACGACGGAGCCGACGCTCGTCTGGACGATCCTGCGCGACCCGCCGGGCGGCGCGTCCACGGCGACGCTGGAGCAGGGGTCCGAGGTTGGCACGTCCATGGGCATCGAGGGCATGCACAGCGGCACCTTCGAGCGCGGCGACGACTGGGGCCTGACCCAGGGCGCCGGCGCGGACCTCACGTCGGCGCTCGAGCCGCTCGGCTTCGGCGTGCAGACGTCCATCTTCCAGATCGGCTACACGACGGGCGCGGCGCACGGCGCCGTCAAGCCCATCATCGGCGTCGAGCGCGGCTCGTCGCAGAGCTTCGACTTCAGCTTCGCCTTCGACTTCGCCGTGTCGACGTCGGAGGAGCCGACGATCGCGGGCCAGGCGTCGGACCTGATCCTCGGCGGCGGCGCGAACCTGCGGGTGCTCACGGCCATCGAGATCGCGCTGGCCGGGTTCACGCTCGAGAGCGTCGCCCTCTACGAGGAGGGCGACCCCCTCTGCGTCGCCGGCAACACGACGTACGAGTGGCTGCCGACGCAGGTGACGACGTACCTGCTCACGGCCTACGAGGTCGAGCACACGATGGACCGCCTCGCGGCGCTCGACCAGACCGCGGCGACGGGCCTCGCCATCGAGAACTGGGTCGCCGTGCTGGCCAACTACCGCGCGTCGACGTTCTCGAACGCGGAGGTGCTCCAGCACACGCTCGACTTCACGCTCGACGCGATGATCGCCAAGTTCGCGGACTTCCAGGCCGAGACGGAGGGCGCGGACTCCGCCGACGACACCATGATCAGCTACCTGACGAACGGCATCGGCCGCATGGAGAGCGTGCGGTCCCAGGCGTCCTACGAGGAGATCTCGCCGAACCCCGCGTCCATGCTCCTCCACACGATCACGCACGCCTCCGAGGCCGTGTCCGACTTCAACGACGTCGACGTCGCCGAGGTCCACAAGCTCACGGATCACGTCTGGCGCCACGTCCGCGAGTCGCGCGCGAACTGCCAGGGCTCCGACGCCTTCGGCCTCGGCCGGCTCTGCGAGGACATCCCCGCGCTCGAGTCCAAGGCCGCGGTCGTCCACGAGGCCATGGGCCTGTGCGACTTCGAGAGCGACGTGCCCGCCGTGGCGGCCTTCTGCGACCCGGGCGCGGACGGCGGCTACCTCCCGCGGTCGCCACTCGACTTCCTGTCCAGCGACTCGAAGCTCGTGACCTTCTCGGGGGGGAGCGTGCTCGAGATGTCGTGGTCCATCGGCGAGACGCGCGGCCGCGAGTCGACCGTGGGCTACAGCCTCGAGGCGTCCGACGAGTACAGCGGCGAGTCCCAGTTCTGCATGGCCCTCGGCCGCCGGCTCGCGGCGGGCGACCGCGCGCGGCGCGCCGCGTTCCACGACCCGCTCGCGCGGCGCCGGCTGTCGGCGTCGATGGCGAACGTCGCCAAGAGCGCGCAGAAGGCGGCGGCGGCGGACGCCGCCGAGGCCGCGGACGCGGCCCAGGCGGCCGTGGACGCGAAGAAGGCGACGGCGGAGATGACGGGCTGCCGCCGCCTCGCGGGCCGGGACCTCGGCGCCGCGCTCGGCCAGGTCGACGCGCCCGGCGCCGCGGCCGCGGAGGGCATCGCGCGGCTCGACGCGTATCTCCGGGCGACGCTCGCGGCGCGGGCCGCGGCGGCCGAGGCCGCGCTCCGGCGGTCGCCCTGGGGCCGGCGGCGCCTCGGCATCTCCTTCGGCGTCAACTTCAACTCGTTCTCGTCCGCGTCCGTGTCCGTGAACATGGGCCGGTCGAACGCGAAGGAGCACTCGCGGAGCCACACCGTCGCCATCGCCTTCAGCGACGGCGAGCCCGGCGACTTCTTCGCCGTCAAGGTCGAGGGCGACAGCCACTACGGCACGCCCATCTTCACGACCATGGGCGGCCTGTCGAGCTGCCCCGGCGAGACGGGCACGACGAAGGTCGACGACCGCGTGACCATCGCGAAGATCGAGTACCACTGCGACCCCTCGAGCTTCGTGCCGTCCGCGGACTGCCGCGACAACCTGCCGGGGTCCACGGTCGCCGTGGGCGTCATCGTGCAGAACCTCAGCCCCGCGTGGACCGTCGTGACCTACCAGCTCATGCTCGGCGGCGACTACGCGTCCGCGGACCCCTGGTTCGACGGCATGTACCACTACACGGACGAGCGCTGCGGCCGCGAGGGCGCGTCGAACGGGCTGAACGTCGAGGTCGCCGGCGACCCGGTGCGGCCGCCCGGCTACACGCTCGACGAGATCCCCTACGGGCAGACCGAGGTGCTGCTCCTCGTGTCCGAGGTCGGCCTCGACGTCGACCGCGGCGTCGAGCGACGCGCGCGCTCCCTCGCGCGACGCGCGCGCCCGGAGGCGGCGCGCCGCGCGACGCCGCCCCTCGCAGGTCGACTGCCACGAATACGTCGACATCCCCGTCAAGGTCGTGAGCGAGTGCGAGTTCAACGGCGACACCTACCAGAACGACCCCTACCAGTACCTCACGGAGCTCGACACGTCCGGCGCGTCGTCGTCGTCGTCGGGCCTCGCGGTCGTGCACCCGGTCTGGGTCCCGGACGACCTCGCCTTCGACGAGGACACGCTCCCGGGCGGCCTCGCGGGCGACGAGGCGACGTTCAGCGTCCACTGGATCGCCGCGACCTGGGCGCCGACGCCGACGGAGCCGCCGACGACGGCCGCGCACTTTTCGGAGGCGGCCGCGGGCACGCGCGCGCCGTCGGAGAACCCGAACGTGCCGACGCTGTCGACGGCGCCGTCGCTCGCGCCCACGACGCCGTCGCCGACGAAGGCGCCGAGCAGGTCCATGGTCGCCTTCAACCTCGTCCTCGAGGTCGGCTACGAGGCCGTCGGCGCGACGGCCGCGGCGTACTGCGCCGCCTACGAGGCCGTGGGCCTCGACGCCATCCAGGAGGCGCTCGTCGCCTCGTACGTCGAGGCCGAGTTCGCCGTCGCGCTGCCCTACCCGCCCTACGCGCACTGCGACCCGCTCGCCGCCGCCGCGGCGCCGGCCGGCGGCGGCGCGAACGCGACGGCGACGGCCGTGCCGTCGCCCCGCCCCAACGCCACGGTCCACGTCGACGTCGACCTGACCATCGGCATCGTCCTCTACGCGACGGACGTCATCGACCGCGACGCGGGCGAGACCTTCGGCACCGTCGAGGCCGAGCTCAACGACATGATGGCGGCCAAGGTCGCGAGCGGCGCCTGGGACGCGGACCAGGCGGCCCACGCCGCGGGCGCGGCGGCGACGGACCCGCCGTCGCCCGCGCCGTCCGCGGGCGCGGCCGCGAACGGCACGGGCGGCCGCCGCGGCCTCCAGGCGGGCGACAGCCTCGGCGACCTCCTCGCCGGGTCGACCGTCGAGGACGTCGCCGTCGGCGCGCTCGTGACCATGTCGCCGAGCGCGACGCCGACGACGGCCGGGCCGACGGCCACGCCGACGACGGCCGAGCCGTCGCGCGCGCCGACGCGCTGGTCCCAGCTCCACGCGGGCGACGACGATCGACGGCCCTTCTACGAGGACGGCTTCCTCCTCGGCCTCATCGCCGGCGCGTTCCTGCTCGGCTGCCTCACGGCCGGCGCCGCCGTCCACGCGCTCTCGCGCCGCGCGCCCGCCGCGGCGCCGGACGCGAAGAAGCAGGTCGAGCTCCCGACGTTCGGGACGACGGCGTCGGCCGCCGCGCGCAAGTTCTCCACGGAGCAGACGGACACGGCGTCGAACCCCATGCGCGCCGGCCACCACGCGCCGTCGCCGAAGAAGCACCACGAGGCGCGGCACCACGCGTCGAAGAAGGGCTCGCACGAGCACCGGAAGAAGAGCGCCGAGCCGCCCAAGCCGCCGCACAAGACGAACCCCTTCACCGTCGCGCGCGCGGCGGCCATCTTCAAGACGCGCGGCGAGGCGAGCCACTGGGTCGAGTGCAGCGACCTCAGCAGCGGCCAGGTCTACTACTCGAACACGAAGACGGGCGAGACGACGTGGACGAAGCCCTCCGGCTACCACGGCCCGGAGGCCATCGCGCCCGGCGGCAAGGCCAAGTGGCTCGAGGCCCACGACCCCAAGAGCGGCCTGCCCTTCTACACGAATGCGGCGACGGGCGAGACGACGTGGGACCGGCCCAAGGGCGTCGAGATCAAGCCCGCGCCCGCCAAGGGCGCGAGGACGCGGACCCTCTCCGCGGACACGAAGAAGTTCGCCGACATCTAGGCGCCGCGCGCGCCCCCCCCCCCCCGTCCCCTCGCCCGCGCGCGCCGACCGCGGCGCCCCTCCCGGGGGAGGGGGGGGGGG